ATAGGTTAAATTAAATGGTTGTTGGAGAAAATCAAATGTACTCAGATTAATAGGCTTTCCAAAAATATTGGTTATTATTCTTTTCTTGACCTTATGTTTTCTAGGAATAGAATACTGAAGATATTGTTTTGGTACCTTTTTATAATTCTGGAAAGTGTCCTAGAGTTACAAATTGTGATTGAAATGACTAATAAGTAAACAAATAAGTCTATGTTAAATTTATAAAAATTGTTGAAATGGTTATATTTTTACTTCCTTTTCAATGTAACTAATGGCATATCGACAACCTATAATGTACCCAGGGATTCAATAGCCTATCGCTGAAATTATATTTTTTACTAAAAAAGAATTAGCAAATAATCAAGATTATACTTTTCTATACAAAATGCAAAATTAGCAGAGTATATGAAGGAAATGTCCCAATTTACTTAAAGATTTTATAGGCAAACACCCAAAACACTAAGAATTAGCAGCACCTCAGTTTCCTTATTTTCTTTTCCCATCCCTATCTAAGTTATAGTACATATTTATAAACCATAATGCAAAAGGAAAAATCTGACTGGATTTTTTTCAACAGAAAAAGAAAAAAAGCAGTTTCTACTAAGGTTATACAGTGGATATAAAGTTTATACACCTCTGTTAAAATGCCAGTTTCAGAGATGTAAAAAAAAAAAAAATCCAATCAAGATAAATCACTTCACAATTCTTTCCACCTTTAATATAACATATAAGCTTTTCAATTCAATTGAAAAACAAATTGAAATCTTTTAGGGCAGTGGTTCTCAACCTGTGGGTCGGGACCCCATTTGGGGTCGAATGACCATTTCACGGGGGTCACCAAACCATGCTGTCCGCCATTTTTTTCCCTTTTCCCTAGCTGTCCTACTCCCTCTTATTGGTGGCCACACCCACTTGAGGGTCACCACAACATGGGGAACTGTATTATGGGGTCACGGCATTAGAAAGGTTGAGAATCACTGTTTTAGGGGGTAAAATAGCAATAAGAACTTATAATAACATGGTTGCAGAAATGTGCACACCATCTTTATAAGTAGGGATATGGCTGTGTTCAGAATTAACCAGTCACATTCAAACTCTTATTAACTAGTAATTAGTACCCACCTTCCATCAATTAAAGTGACTCTGATCATGCCCATATAAAGTTCACTATGCTGGTAAGATTTTTTCTGACATTTACTCATTTGCCTCTTACAGCAAAAGCTATGGTTTGCAAAGGGTTTATAAAGCTTCAAAGGGAGCTTTATTGGAAAGTATTACTGAGGAGAAGGGTACAAAAAACTTTTCAAGGCTCTGGATATATCATGGAACAGAGTTAAGACAGACATTAACAAGTGGGTCTATGACAATTCGCCATAGCCAACTCGCCACAGGACTTGATGCTGGACAAAATTTACACTAATAACAAAGAAATGGTGTAATAGAATCATTAAAGAAAGGGTGCAAAAGGAGGGACAGAATGAAATGTAATTGACAAAAATTAAATATTTTTTACTTATTTTAAATAATTAAATAGAATTGTTAAATTGTTCCGCAGTGAGTTGTCCCATGGCAAGTTGGCTACATGGCGAGTTGTCTTGTAGCAAGTTGGCCATGATGAGTTGGCTGTGGCAAGTTGTCCCATTCCCTCAACATGGATAAAATATGCACACTATTACCAAGAACTGTATGTCCCTCCAAAATTGATGGAAAAATAAGAAGAAATGTGGTCCAAGGACTGCCAAGAGACCTATGGCAATATTAAAGGAGCTACAGAATTCCTGGAAAGTACTACATGTAACAACAATCTCCCATATTCTTCATAGGTTTCAGCTGTGGGGTAAGGTGGCAAGATGGATGCCTTTACTTACTAAGAAAAACATCCAAGCCCAGCTGCATTTAGCAAAAACCTGCATCAAGTCTGCCAAAAGAATGTGGGGAAATGTGTTATAGTCTGATGAGACCAAAATTGAACTTTTTGGCCATAATTCCAAACTGTATGGTGCAAAATAACACCAAACTTAGAGCTATTTTTCTTCAGCTGGAACTGGGGCTTTAATCAAGGTGGAGGGAATTAGGAACAGTTCCAAATAAATTTGGGCACAAAACCTTCAAGTCCCTTCTAAAATGCTGAAGGTGAAGAGGAATTTCATCTTTCAATATGACCATAATCCAAAGCAAATCAACAAATCAACAAAAGAATAGTTTCCCCAGAAGATCAAGTTTTAGAATGGCCCAGCCAGACCCCAAACTTGAATCCAACTGAAAATCTGTGGTTTGATTGTGAGCTGAAGAGGGCACAGGAGGTGCCCTCACAATTTGCAAGGAAAAGTGTACAAAGATTCCCAAGGCAAGATGTGCTATATTGGTAGGCTCTTATCCCAAAAGACTAAATGCTGTTATAAAGTCAAAAGGTGCTTTAACGAAGTATTAGTTTAATGGTGTGCACTTATGCAATCAAGTTATTGTTCTTTTTATTAGTTTTCCTCCTAAAATATTTGTTTTTCAATCGAGTTATACAGCTTACATGTTATATTAAAGATGGAAAAATTCTGATTTGAGTTGATTTTTTATATCTCAAAAATCTGGCATTTTAATAGGGGTAGCAGACTTTTTATAGGAAACTAGATGGCTTTCTTTTATTTAATATGTTGTAGTTTTACCAGGGTATCAATTATTCCAAAAATAGGAGACTCTACTTCTATTTTTATTGAAAGCTCAGCACAAGTGTGAAATCTTAAGACATAAATGCAATCACTTAATACCTTCCTTTGTACATATTTTCCTCCTCCCCAACTTCTCCAGCAGTTGTGAACTGTATTTGTCTTGCCACCATTACTTCACTTTCTGAAAAGTTAGTAATACAAATTTGTGTGTACGGATGACTTTACCCTTAAATTTGTTTTTAAGACGTCAGTCATTTCAGAAATCCTAGCTAAATAGGATTCTTTATCTTGTAAAGCTGCTGTGCAAGTGACAAATTAATGATTAATAGAAACATTTACATGCATTCATTTACATGGACATCAAATCCAGTTGCAAGAAACAGCTATTTAATAATATTCAGAGGGCTCATTCCATGCAGGGGTATAAGAAAGAACTCAAAATGTACTAGAAAAGAGCAAGGTCCAAGGTTCTAGGCATCTAGTTTTATAAAATTTTTAAAAATTATATTTAAAAAAAACAGATATTTTTCTATTCAAGGAAAAAAATTGAGAGTAGGTTTCTTAGATACTGGATCAATCTATAGTATGAGAAGCATTTTTGGAAAGATTATAAATACCCATTAACTTCTTCAGGCACCATCAAAAACTACCTCACGTTGCAGTTGCTGTTACTAACTGATCACTGTTGTATTTCCATCTGCACCTTATTTGGTATCAGCATACTGTTGCACTATTTTTATGCCAGATTCTTCGCAAAAACCTCTATCCAAATGTGAGATACAATCTTTCCATCTCAAATATCTAAGTGGTGAACTATTTTTATAATTATCCCAGCCTTTTATATATAGGAGGAGAGAGTTTTAAAATTATACCTTCTTTCTTCCACAACCAAAAATGATAGAAAACTTAATTTAGCAGAACTTAATTGTGGTAAATATCTGTCAATTTTGTAAAATATGAACCAAATAAGACTGCCATACTCTTGACTTCTCAGCAGTGTCCTAATTAGTAACACCAAGCAATACCTATTTTATCATATCATTGATGTATTGTTTATTGGTGATGTCACAAGCTACTTTTCATATTTATTCCATCATCTGGTAATTACATCAAGTAGCAAGAATATATTGCAATCAAACCACAAATAAATGAATAGTGTTGTATAAAACCTTATTTTCTTCATAGGCCTTATAAATGCAACAAAAAAAGTTCCAAAAGCCTGTCCCAGACTGTACAATTAGAGCCAATTTGCACATATCCTTTTATGAATTAATTATATTGACACTGTTCCCCATCCTAGCATATTCCAGAGCTATTGCAATTTCAGTAACACTTATTGGCTGAACATCACAAAGTTACCTAATAAGTCTACTGGAGCAACATGGCACAGTATGGGATGATTTTCCCTGTATGTTCAGGAATTTTCTGGAAAATTAATTACAGTCTCCAATACATCTTATACTTTGAATTCAAGGAATTATAATTTCAATTATTTTGACTGCTCCTACTGGTTTAATTTCAGGATGTTTGGCTATTTCAAAAATGAAATACAAGAAAGTAAGATCTGCTTTTCAAATCACACAACAATTAATCAAAGTAGATAACAGCAGGCATGTAATACTGTCACAGCTCTTTTTCAACATAGAGATAAATTAGATGCCTCTGCAAAGATCACAGAAAAAAAAAGAATCCAGTCACAGTCTACAATTATCCCAACTCCTTCATAAGCAACATTCACAGAGGTACTTGCCTCTGCACCTGAAGATTTTATACAAAATAGCTGTTGACAGACTTAAGCTCCAGAAATCCACTTGATCCACTTAAGTCAGGTTTTAGCCCCTCTAAAATCAATGGGGCAAGCCAATTTAGTTTAATTGCTACTGGTTTTTAATTATTTTAATGCAGTAAAGCATAAGTAATATGCTCTGCTGTATATTAATTTTCTCTTTACGGCTTCTAGGATGTGGCCATCAGGTATTCTTGGAACAATAAAATCCAACTGTATTATGCATGATGTGAACGATATATTGTCATCAAACTACTGCCGATTCATTTCACTAAATAACCCAGACATTCAATATTACGAAATAAAAGAAGCGCTTCAGTCACATCACGGATATATTAAGTCCATCATGTTCTCCAGCACAAAAATGCCCTAAGTTGCTTACGGTTTTTTTTAAATGTTCCCGTTAAAAACACCAACGGTATCATATGAATCCAAGAATTGAACGGCCTATGCAAACAGACCGCATCCCCCCCCCCTCGCGAAGTTTCTGATTCCTTCCTCACCTAATACGGCCATTCCGGCCAATTAAACGTTCCCAGCAAGTTCCATACCTTTTGCGGAGCTTTTAGCAGGCGGTGGACACCGGCCAGTTGAGTAACCAGGGGGATGTCTTCTCTGAAGGAGTAGAGGGGCGGACGGGTGGGCTCAGGAAAATTAGTACTGTTGAAAGGATCGGTGTCGTCCAGAAACTGCACCCTGTAAACCACCGTTGCGGTAGCCATCGTGCAGCCATTCAAAAAAACATAGACATATAGTCGTGGAAACAGAGACACCAAAACGCAAGGTCGAGAACAACTCCGACTTCTATGTTCACCACCAAGCAAACGAAAATAACCCGCTCTTTTCGCAAAACACACACATAGAGTTATATCCCAGTAATCGGGCGGTCGACAGAAATCTTTGCGCTTGTCTTTTCCCGCTGCTAAGAAGATCTGGCGCCAACCGCACCGAGGGAGAGAGAGAAAAAGAACAACATGCACACAATCCAGGAGTCTTGTAGAGAATCATCTCCCGACCATAACTCGGCTGGTAGATTCGAAAAGAGTCCACCAAAGCTTTAGCCACGCATCAAGGAGAGCAACATTAGAGTTGGCGCATCTTCCAGGCAAAGTTACTGCAGAAAGGAAAAGTGGCTGCCGGAGCTAGAACAAGTTCCCGACGGCGACCAATGCGGGTGGGGGCGGGGGCGGTGCCTCCTTCATTCTCAGCCGGCAGCTCACTCTACCAAAGTGGGAAGCAAAGGCAAATGAGGGAAGCGGCTGCTGCTGGGAAAGTTGCTCCCCTCCCCTCTTCGTATTGCCTGTGAGAAATAATTGCTGGTGCCACCCAGTGGGTACAAATGAATGTATTCAACAATGGCGACTTGGTACTGCTGTTTCTTTCCCAGGAAGGGCCTAAGTTCATATAGCGGTTGAATCTTTATTTTGAAAACAAGGTTTTATTTTAAAGAACCCCATTTGGTTTTAGCAATGTAATTCATAGGTGCATTATTTCACGGAGAAGCAAGACTGGTTTGCAAAGATGGAACGATACAATGACTAGTTTTGAGATACATTAGACCTTTATTACTTTTTTCCCCTCAACTCAGGTGTGGGAAGTTTCCAAATCCAGTTCTCTCACTTTTCCATTCCATTTTCACATAGCCTCTCCCTTTTCCCTAACAAAAGATCCTGTGCTCTGGCCCCCGTGCTTTCCAGGGTCTGTCACTTGAACTGATCCTTTCTGCGGTTAGGAAAGGCCAGAGAGAACAAGATCCAACTGTGATTGGAAAAGGGTCTTCTCACTCACACATACAGACATGCACGCATTTCCCTCACTCCTCTGAACTTTAAAAGTTAAAATTTAGAGGCACTCACCTTCTTTCCAAAGCAGCTCTTAAGCTCAAACTCAAACATACCCTTTACTACTCTTGCTCCAAATGGGCAGGGTCTGGGAAACCCATCCACAGACACAAGGGGTCTGCTGCTGGCAAGATGAAGGCTTATCCAGTGCCAGTCGATTGGTGAGGTTAACTTGAAGTCCCATCCTGGTGCCAAATTGTTGAAAGAAAAATCTTCATCAGAGTCCAGTCCAAGCTGGGAATAAACAAACTGGAGACTGCTTTAGGAAAGAAGGTTCTTGTTTATTGAGTTGTCAGAAACTTCAGTGATAGCAGCATGTTTCTGGGGTAGCTGACCACATGGTGTGGAAATGATGAGTTTTTATATCTTCTTGGGCTTTTGTGTTTGGAGTTGTTCCTGTTTGAGGCTGTTCCTGATCCTGTGGCATGAACTTTGACCTGAGGTTCAGTGTGCCCTTTTGGTATTCTAATGATGGTGGGTTAATTCTATTATATCCTAAAGGTCATGTCTGCTTCTCTGGGGCTGGTTCTAATCCTATCACTCTGCTGTTGTTAGCTATCAAATCTTGCTCCAAGGGATTTCGAAAGATCCTGTCCTGAATGGGTTTCTGGAGGCTAATGAATGGGGCCTCAGATTTTCTGAATGGGATTATCAAATCTGCATTTCTACAGACCAGGCCTGCTGAGTTTCTGTTTGGGACTATTAAGAAAATCTGGGCTTGCTTTCCTTTGGGAAAATATAATATTCTGTCTTTTTAATATCCCAAAAATATTTCCTTCTCTGGGGGTGGCTGACTTCCCCAAATCCCCCCTTTGTGTTATATAAGTGTGGGTGACACATTTTTATTGGCATAAGATTAAGAATTGATCTGGTCAGGGAGACTTGATGGGTGCCACTATGGGGGGGTTCCAGGATGTAAAGAAACAAGCTTTTAAACTGTTAATTCAGAAAGGGGAAGACACTAATAGAGGCAGCAGAAAAAGATCCCTGCAGTGGCTCTCAAAGGGGGATCCTTTCAATCAAGAAGGTTTAAAGCCAGGGCAAAAGTTCTCTTAGGTGGAAAAGAAATTTATAGTGTCCAATATTCTGTGCCAATTCCTTTCAGATGTTGGATTATCACTTTGAGCTTCCAGTCAGGTTTGCACATGCCTCCAAAATTCTTCACAGCCATGTTTTTCCTCAGTACATAACCATTGGCTGCCCATTTTCAAGGGTTGCTTCCTGAACCTGCCTTAGCTCTTAGTTTAGTGCATCCAGGGTTTGTGATGTTCAATTAAAGTTAACCAGTGGGCAAGTCAAGCTATTAATTTTTCTTAAATTAGGGCTCCCACTCTGGGCTGGGGTTTGGAGATCTCTTTTTCCTGCTACCTCAGTGAAGGCATATAAATTGTAAATTGCCTGAGGGAGCTTAGTTCCCTCTCCTGTGGAATTTGCAGGAAGGTATGCATACAAACCCCTTTATGGATTACTGCCTTGTCATGGTGAAGGGGTTTGCATAACTCAATGAAGCTATGAGCTATGCCGTGCAGGGCCACCCAAAACGGACAGGTCATAGCAGAGAGTTCTGACAAAATGTGATCCACTGGAAAAGGAAAATGGCAAACCACTTCAGTATCTTTGCCATGAAAACTCCATGGACAGTACTAAAAGGCAAAAAGATATGACACTGAAAGATGAGCCCTTCAGGTCGGAAGGTGTCCAATATGCTACTTGGGAAGAGCAGAGGACTAGTACTAGTAGCGTCAGAAAGGATGAAGCGACTGGGCCAAAGCTGAAAGGACGCTCAGCTGTGGATATATCTGGTGGTGAAAGGAAAGTCGAATACTGTAAAGATCTTTTCTCCATAGGAACCTGGAATGTAAGATCCATGAATCAAGGCAAGCTAGACGTAGTCAAAAAAGAGATGACAAGACTGAACATCGACATCTTAGGAATCAGCAAACTAAAATGGACAGGAATGGGTGAATTTAACTCAGATGACCATCAGGTATACTACTGTGGGCAAGAATCCCTCAGAAGAAATGGAGTAGCCTTCATAGTCAATAAAAGAATAGGAAAAGCAATACTGGGATACAATCCCCAAAATGACAGAATGATCTCAGTTCGAATCCAAGGCAAACCATTCAATATTACAGCAGTCCAAATCTATGCCCCAAACACTGATGCTGAAGAGGATGAAATTGACCAGTTCTATGAAGCCCAATAGCACCTTATAGAATTAACACCAAAAAAATGATGTCCTTATCATCATGGGGGATTGGAATGCTAAAGTAGGAAACCAAAAGATAACCAGAATAACAGGCAAGTTTGGCCTTGGAGTATAAAATGAAGCAAGGCACAGGCTGATAGAATTTTGTCAAGAAAATACAATGGTCATAATAAACACTCTTTTCCAACAACTCAAGAGACGGCTCTACACATGGACTTCACCAGACAGTCAACACAGAAGTCAGATTGACTATGTGCTCTGCAGCCAAAGATGGAGAGGCTCTATACAGTCAGTAAAAACAAAACCAGGAGCTGACTGTGGCTCAGATCATGAGCTTCTTGTTGCAAAATTTAGGCTTAAATTGAAGAAAGTAGGGAAAAGCTCTAGGCCACTCAGGTATGAACTAAATCATATTCCTGAGGAGTATACAGTAGAGGTGACAAATAGATTTAAGGAATTGGATCTGATAGACAGAGTGCCTGAAGAACTATGGACAGAGGTTCGCAACATTGTATAAGAGGTATCAACTAAAGCCATCCCAAAGAAAAAGAAATGCAAGAAAGCAAAGTGTCTGTCTGAGGAAGCTTTGCAAATAGCTGAGGAAAGAAAGGAAGCGAAAGGCAAAGGAGAAAGAGAAAGATACACCCAATTGAATGCAGAATTCCAGAGAATAGCTAGAAGAGATAAGAATACCTTCTTAAATGAACAGTGCAAAGAAATAGAAGAAAACAACAGAGGACCAGAGATCTCTTCAAGAAAATTGGAGATATGAAGGGAATGTTTCATGGGCATGATAAAGGACCATAATGGCAGAGACCTAACAGAGGCAGAAGAGATTAAGAAGAGGTGGCAAAACTACACAGAAGAACTATACAGGCACGACCTTAACATCCCAGATAACCACAGTGGGGTGGTCACTGACCCCGAGCCAGATATCCTAGAATGTGAAGTGAAATGGGCCTTAGGAAATCTGAGCAACAACACAGCTAGTGGAGGTGACAGTATTCTAGCTGAGCTATTCAAAATCTTAAAAGACGATGCAGTAAAAGTGCTACACTCAATTTGCCAGCAAATTTGGAAAACTCAACAGTGGCCACAGGATTGGAAAAGGTCAGTTTACATTCCAATTCCAAAAAAAGGCAATACCAAAGAATGTTCAAACTATCGCAGCATTGCACTCATTTCACATGCTAATAAAGTTATGCTTAAAATCCTACAAGCTAGACTCCAGCAGTATGTGGATCGAGAACTACCAGAAGTACAGGCAGCATTACGAAGAGGCAGAGCAATTAGAGATCAAATTGCCAACATATGCTAGATCATGGAGAAAGCTAGGGAGTTCCAGAAAAATATCTTACTTCTGCTTCATTGATTATGCTAAAGCCTTTGATTGTGTGGATCACAACAAATTGTGGCAAATTCTTAAAGAGATGGGAGAACCAGACCATCTTATTTGTCTCTTGAGAAACCTATATGCGGGTCAAGAAGCAACAGTGAGAACTGGACATGGAACCACTGATTGGTTCAAAATTGGGAAAGGAGTCTGGCAAGGCTGTATACGGTCACCCTGCCTATTTAACTTACATGCAGAGCACATCATGAGAAACGCAGGGCTAGATGAATCAAAAGTTGGAATTAAGATTGCCAGGAGAAATATCAACAACCTAAGATATGCAGATGATATCACTCTAATGGCAGAAAGTGAAGAGGAACTAAAGAGCTTCCTGATGCGGGTGAAGAAGGAAAGTGCAAAAGTTGGCTTGAAACTCAACATTAAGAAAACCAAGATCATGGCATCTGGCCCTCTCAATTCGTGGCAAATAGATGGGGAAGAAATGGAGGTAGTGACAGATTTTATTTTCCTGGGCTCCAAGATCACCTCAGATGGGGACTGCAGCCAAGAAATTAAAAGACGCTTTCTCCTGGGGAGGAAAACTATGGCAAATCTAGACAACATACTAAAAAGCAGAGACATCACCCTGCCAACAAAAGTGCATATAATCAAGAAAGGCTGAGCGACAAAGAATTGAGGCCTTTGAACTATGGTGCTGGAGAAGACTCCTGCAAGTCTCTTGGACTGCAAGGCGTTCAAACCGGTCAGTCCTAGAAGAGATCAACCCCGACTGCTC